AGCCGTCGATGACGTCACGGACAGCGACTGTCTTTCGCGTTTTTCTCGCGTTTAACAATACTTACGCAGCAAATGGTTTGGGTATTCGGGTTCACGGGGTAAAAATACACTAGAATTCACTTCTAACTCATTTTTTCCAAGAAGCTCCGTAGCTTCCCTTTAATAAAACTTTTCCTTTCTCGAATTTCGCTTTATTTTAAAAGTTATAGGCAAATTAGAATTACAAAAACAAGCAAAAAATAACTATCGCGCGCTTTCGGCAATGCGGGTCGCCCTCGTAGGTGGAGGAGGTTTCCACGTCGTCCGGTTAAAATATGACGCACTGATATTTGGTTACTCTCTCCGTGCCCGCTGGCTTGCCCGAGCCCCAAGAGACGTGGAAACCGCAAAAAAGGTAGACGCTTAAATATGATTGCAGGGCCCCTTTAAGCGTCAAAAAGCGCGGGCTCTCTTTTCCTTCTTGTAATTTTTCTCTGTCGCCGCTGACGGTCTGGCTGCCAGAGTCAACTCGTAAAACTTAATTCTTTTTTTTTTTTTTTCAGTGCGCAATTTTTTGGGGGTGTGACGTTTAGTTATGTTGCTCTCCGGAGCATGCTTTCGGACACGCGTTTTAAGCGCAGACGGCAGCAGACCATGCGCGAGTTCTTTGGACACTAAAAGGAAGTTTAATTTTAACCGTTTTTCTCTCCTTATTTTAATTCAATCATTCGGATAATTCAACCAAATTTCAAGGACCCGTCGAGGTCGAATTAACGAAAGTTTACTGTAGAAACATAGCCTTGCCAACTTTCCTGTTTGGCTTTTCTTCGGACGTAGCGTGCACGGGCCTTCATTTTCCGAAAGGATATGAGGTTATCCCCAGTGGGGTATCGTCTCAGAATACCCCAAGCCCGATTTTTTTTTCTTGCGTGTCTCTTCACATTCCGAATTCCACCAAGGCTTTGGCCTCCTAGAGAGAAATGGAGATGTCTGCGGGCTGGACAACTTGGCTGCTGCTATGATGTGCTTGATTAAAGGATGATTGAGTTTGTCAGTTGTGAGACTATCCTGACGAGAATATGCTAAAAGCGATGCCTGCTTGAAGAGGCCCCAATCAGCCTTGTCAAGTTTCCAACGAGGAGGGCGTGTATAAATTAAAAGCGGGGCTACACTGCAGGCTAAAAAAGTAGGAAAATGATTGCTTGCACGTGGATTGGGATCCACACTCCAGGAAAAATTTGGAAGTAAAGTAGCTGAACCAATTGAAAGGTCGATGGAAGTTGATGACAAAGATGATGGACTAAAATAGGTTGGCTGGCCCATATTAAAAAGACAAAGACTTTGTGTGGTTAAAACAGACTCAACAATTTTTCGCCTGACATCCTGACGTGTGCTCCCCCATAAAGGGTTGTGACAACTAAAATCGCCCATCAAAAGGAAAGGCTCAGGAAGCTGGTCTAACAGCGAGTTAAAATCTGAACATTTCAAAGTAAAAGCAGGTGGCAGATATAAAGAGCATACTGTAAGAGCTTTATGGTGCATGAACCGAACTGCCACTGCCTCAAGTGGTGTGGACAGTGGAACCTCTGTGCAGGGAACTTCTCTCGGGAGAACCACCGCAACTCCCCCAGAGGAACTGACAGAGCTCGGACGATCCTTGCGGAAAATCTGGTAACATCTGAGGAAATTGGTACGGCTGGGACACAAATGAGTCTTGCAAGCACAGCACTCTTGGCTTGTACTCCTTCAGAAGATGCTCTACATCGTCCAGGTTTCTTAGAAGGCCACGACAGCTCCATTGTATGAGTACTGAAGCCATTTTAGGGACAAAAACCGGAGCACATGGAAAAGTGAGTCACTTTTCACTTCGGAAGAGTAACAAGTTTTTTTTTATTTTTGTTTCTTCGTAGTCTGCCACTCCATCTCGTCCTGGTCAGAACCCAGAGCCGATGAGGGGGCAGACAAGGCAGCGCCAGTGTTCTTCTGAGCCCCGCAGGCAAACTTGCCTGCTGGCCCGGGAGGGCCTGTGCCAGGGGGCCCCAATCCGCGGCCACAACCAGAACTGGGTGGAAAAGTGGTTGATGTATTGGGGAAGGGTTCTACCCTGTCCATCTGTTCCACCTCTTTTCCTGACAGGGAAGCTGCATGCGACCCACACAGCTCCTTGGTTGCTGGCTACCTCTCCAGTAACTGAGGCCGAGGGCCTCGCTTTTTCTCCTCCTTAGGAGAGTGGCCAGTGTTGACACGTGCAGTTGGTGCTGGCCTGTCCCGAGCAGAGGAAGCAGCTAAAGCACCTTCTCCGCGAGAAGAGGAAGCCTGCTGACCCTGCGCCACAGTCTTGAAGGGAAGGTCGGGCACGGCTATTGCCGGCCCGTCCTTGCCCAGGGGAGCAGCATGCTGCTCCTGTTGAGGGGATGGGGCCCTTAGGTCGGCTACCAAGATCTCAGGAGAGACCTGGGTGGCCCTAGTCTCCAAGCGTGGTGCAGGGCCCCTGCGCACTACCTCGGCGTAACCTCCCTTTGAAAGGAAGGACAGCTTCTTCTTAGCTTCCAAGTAGGGAATAATCTCCTTTGCCTTTAGGGAAAATTTTTTTCTTGACTCCAAAGGGGACAGGTGCGGGGGTAAGCTGAGTGGGGCCCACTGCAGTTACTACAGCGGCTTCCACATTTCACACAAGTTTCCTTCCCTCGGCAACTGCGTGACCCATGCCCAAGGTGTTGGCAGCGGAAGCACCGTTCCGGGTTGGGGACATAGGGACGGATGCAACACTGGAGGTAGCTTGCCTTCACAGTTTCAAGGAGGGTGTGTCTCGCAAAGGTCAAGATCACGTGCTTTGATAAGGTTTCCTTGCCATCCTTCCGGAACATAATACATTTAACGGCGATAACACCGCCATCTTTCAATCCTTCCAGGATTTCTTCCTCGCTAGCGTCGAGGAAGTCGTCTTCAGAAAGGACTCCACGGATCGTGTTCAGCCTCCAGTGAGGACTCGCGAACTTCGACTATGCTGGTCATCTTGGAGAGTGCCTCACTTTGAACTTTCGTGTTTACTTTGACAATAAGGTCGCCGGAGTGGAGTTTTTTGCTTTGTATGAGAACGCAATGAGGTTTTCTAGCACCTTGGCTACCACAAAGGGAGATAATTTGGACGCTGGTTTGTCTTCAAGGTTTGAGTGAATCACAAAAAACTTTGTAATTGTTCACATTACAGGAGCTTTTCCAATGACTTGGGGCTCATGGCAAGGCCTCTTGGAAGCCGGCCTTGAACCGGGTTTAGAGAGGAGGGGCACCATATGAAAGGCAGGACCTTCAACATCTGTAGCGCACCACCCACCACGAAGTCCAACGAGGGGATAGGTAACATCTTATAACAGGTCTGGCTTGTCTGAGTATGTTACTCTACCAGTGCTACTAGGATGCTATAACCGAGTGTGGGTCAAGAGAGAGTTCTGTCGCCACCCAAGGTTAGCCCTTACCGCCAAAGAAGGTGGAAAATGAGAAGAAGGAGGTTAAAGATAGGAAAGGAGAAGAAAGGCGACTGACTGATTTATCCTGGTCGGGCCAAGCCAGGACACCTGTCTACAAGAAGCAGGGGCCAAAGCGCTGTATTGCCTTGCCCGGGGGGCCCCGAAGGGTCCAAACAAACCCCGGGCTCAGCTCAACCACCAGGGTCCCCTTTTCTCCAGACACAGGTGAAGTCACGCACAGCCAGGCGTGGGTGGGCGAGCCCACATGGCTCGGGGTGCGTAGTGACGACACTCACCAAGCACCTGCTAAAGTAGGTGCCCCCTGCGTGCGGATATGGTGACCCACATGGCTGGGGTCCGTGGTGACGCTACACACCAAGCACCTAAGGTGCAGGCACCCCCTGCGGGGCTCGGGGTCCATGGAGACGCCACTCTCCAAACGCCTGCTTTCACAGGTGCCCCTTGCAGGGACCGTACATAGAGCAGAAGTGCCTGCTCTATTAGCGCATGAAGAAGCTTGAATCATAAAGAATTGGTCATTCGCATAAACCCTCATTCACAAAACCCCTGCTGTCTCCTCGTAATGAACGTTTTTGAAAAATGCAACTTGGTATAGTCTGCACCTGCAGATAGTCTGCACCGCGTAACATTGCAACTTGTAAATGTGTATAGTCTGCAGACTATTGTCCTGTAAATAGAATAGTCCTTAGCCCAAAGCTAGAAAATAAATTAATATAAAGCTTCAGCAAGTGACAAGATGCTAAATAAAATTTTTGGCCGCCACTGTAAAAAGAGAGAATTACACCTCGACTTAAAAATATTTACGTTCTAACAAATATGGTAGTTACTGTGACAACAAGTAGCACATAATGCTGAGGCTCAATCAGCTTAAATTTGTGTTCTCTGCTCGGGGACAACTTTTCTGACCATAAAGCCAAGGCTGTGCGCGCCCGTGCAGCCAAGCACCTCGAGCACCGATTAAAGCTGCGCATGCGCAATCTCCACTACTTCTACAGTGTCCGAAAAAGCAACGACTGAGTGCAGTCAACCTAATTCCAAAAAGCTACAACTGAACCAAGAATGTAACTGCGGTAGCTGCAATTTCATCGCGACTTAAAGTAGTTTATCGCTAAAATTTTAACTAGTATCATATTTCCCGGCGTATAGGTCGCAGTTTTTTGTCAAAATTTCATTTGGTGCATCTTAGTATATGCATTATATTTTTCTACACGTACAAACATAAACTGCGGAAATTTGCCACGGGGGTTACATTTCACGTCCCATTTGTTCACGAGAATATTGAAACTTGCTCTCGCTTGCACGTACAATATGTTGTGATCGTATCACACGTATGTGGGTTTTTCTACGTAGTTTCGCCGCACCGACCGTACAACTCTGTCGGTGGGACTTTCGTCCGGAAACAGCTATTTATAAGCAATGAAACTTACAGACCGGAAAATACGGCAAAATTAACTTTGTGTAGTTCTTTACAGCCGTGACATGGGCGAACCTGTCTTCCCACGGTGGGGGAAGGGTCAAGAAAGCTCACCTGCAGCACCGGGGGAAGCTGGCGTTGAAGTGGGGAGTGGGCTGGGCTGCCCTAGTCATCGTCGTCCTCGTCGTCGTCTTCTACCCTCTGGCTGCCTCTCTTGAGTGCGTTGCCCTCGTTGTAATGAAGTTTCCTTCGTAGCTCGAACTGCCTGTCTGCCGCACCACGGGGACGGCGCCGGAAAGGGACCGGAAGGCAACCATGAGCCAACCTGACTTCAATGCCACAATCCAATCCAATCCAATCCAATCCAACATGGATAAACTGAGTTCCACACATGTAATCTGTGCGGTTTTGTCGGCAATACTACGGTGCCTGAAAAGCGTTTACGACTGGTGTGTTCAGTGTCGATCCAGTGTCGACATGATCGTAGCGGAACAGCACAAGAAACATACTTAAAGGGGCACTTAGACCCCAAAGGTCACATTTCTTGTTGTTGTCTAAAACGATGCAAGTTGTAGTCATAGACACACAAAAAAATACCGCAATGCAAAAAAAAATAAAAAAATTTTGCACGTGCACCTTTTTGTTTTTGTAGTTTTTCTCTCCCTCTTCTCACCTCCTCGTTTCTCTTTATTTGTGGCATCAAAAATTATAAAATTTAGAAGCTTTGTAAGGACCATTTTTATAATACTTAATGATAGCATTCGAAAAACATTGTAAGCAGTGATAGAGTGCAGGCGAGCTGCTAATTAATTGACACCTTGTAAACCCTGAGATGGGGAACGATAAAAAAAAAAAAAACGGACGAACACAACAAAATTTTAAACGCAGCTGAAATTTATTGATATGAGCACACCAATTGGTGTGCTTATACCAATAAATTTCAGCTGCGTTTGACATTTTGTTGTGTTCGTCCGTTTTTCATCGTTCCCCATCTCAGGGTCTACAAGATGTCGTAAAATATTTCTTTTTAACGCAATTGCAAACACACTACAGCCCTCCTTTTGAAATACCCTGGCTGTTTATCCACCCTTGAAAAACATGGCGGCGCTGGCAACGCTCGGCGGCACATGTAGCACTGAGGATGATCAGCGAGTCAGGGAAACAAAGTTCTCTTTTTCTAGGAGCCCGACGACCTCTCAGACTTCGAAAAGAAAATCATCAAACAGTCAAAACAACTAGGTTTGGTGTTTGTGTACTGCAGTTTCGATTGAGACTCTGCCGAGGCAGCTTTCCACGCAGAACGGGCGCAACGCGGCGCCTCACGTCGCTCACAAAAGTCCACTGCACATTCTCTTCGGCCTCGCACCGTTTCAAAAAGGTTGAGATTGCTGAAAGAGCCCTAAAAGAACTTCAAACTCGAAAGTGAAGCGTCGTCTGCTCACAGCGAAAGGCGGCAAGCAAGAAAAGCCGTTGATCTACCGACTGACGCAGGCGAACACAAGATTTCAGGACCCGACGGTTCAGAGGAGTGAAAGAAACTTGAGTTGCTGTGGTTCGGAGGCGTGAGAGAAGTCGAGTTGCAGAACGACTCAATCTTTGAGGTCACTGCACTGGCATGGATCATACGGGAACTTCAAATTCGGCTTTGAGAAATTGTCTTTTTACTTCACAAATACCAGGTTCCCAAGTTCTGAACTTTGAGGGTAATTCCCAGGCATCATTTTCATTGTTATGGATAATAAAAAAAATAAAAAATTTAACCTGTCAGTGCCCTTTTAAGGCGGCTGTGTTTGCTGCATCTTTATGTTATGTGTTCAACTTTCACACGGTTATGTTGCACTAGACCCTTGCCATAACCCAGTGCCACTGTGCCACCAACGAACTTAGACCTGTTTGGAAGAAAACCTGATTGTTTCTGAAACATTTTATTTAAAGCATGAGGTGCTTTTTAATGCTACCCCGCATCCCAAAGTTTTATCCATCCATCCGTCCGTCCGTCCGTGCATTTCCCGCTAAATCTAGCGGGGAAATTTATATTACGAGATCTATACACAAATTCAGTTTCTCGGCTAAATTTAGCAGGAAAATTGATGTCACGTGACCTGGCGTCACGGGACATACAAACCAATTCAGTTTCCCCGCTAAATATGGCAGGAAAGTGGCATCTACTGACGTCACGCAATCATACACCTCGGGGAAATTGACGGCATGTTACCTATGCGTCAACTCAGTTTTCGCGCTAAATTTAGCAGGGAAATTCACATCATGTAGCCACATCATCAATTCAGTTTGCCCGCCAAATTAAGCAGGAAATTAACGTCACGTGATCATACACCAATTCACTTTCCTTGCTAAATTTAGCGGGAAAATATACATCACATGACACATCAATTTTCTTACCAAAACCCTATAATGCATTTCATGCATTATAGAAGTGTGAAGGTATAAGTCGCTGCCAATTTTTATTATCATTGAATAACAACATACGAAACTTTGTTCCCCTCTTGTATAGGGTGACCCGCCCAAATATTTGTAGGGATCTTTTTGTTACACACATAAACTATGCATCGTCAAACGCCCATTTTCTGCCCAGATATTGTGCTGGTGGTCCAGACAACGTGCCAAAGTTTCAGAACAAACCGTTATCTCATTCAAAAGTTAAAAGCGACTTTTTGAAATTTCCAATCAGAAAATGGCAGCTGACGAAGCCCTCAAATACATAGAGCCGAGCGGCGCCAGTTACCAAGAACGGGCCCCATTTTCAGAATAAGATTTTCAGAAACTCGCTTATAACTTTTTAATAAGATGACGGCTAGTTCTGAAACTTTGGCATCTCCTTCGGACCCCTAGCGCTGCATTTTGGGCAAAGAAAAAGCACTCAAAGATCCGTCGCCAATTTTTGCAGTGAAAACAACCCTGCAAATTTTTTGGAGGTGACACGCTGTAGTTTTTTGTGTGTGTGTGTGTGCATGCGTGCGCGTATAGGTTATATGCACAATTCATGTCAGTGAGCATTGTTGTGACGTCAGAGCCACCACATTAGTGTCTTTGCCATCTTCCGCCTGTAAATAGGGCACACCTGCATTCAGTTTGGTTTTCATAATATTTTGTCAATGCATTTCTGTATTCAGTGGGTCGTTGTTTAGTACCGGAGCAACGAAGAAAAGTAAGATGGCCGCAAGATTGCAAAAAATGAATTGTCGGCAATGAGATCACGAGACTAGTCGCTGAAGCAATGAAATGGGCCATCTTGATAAGGGAACGGTCCTCGTCGAAGTCACCGTCATCACGTTACGTCATACGTCCCGTGTTTTTTATAATGACCTCACACATGACGTCACGAGGGTAACATCATGACGTTACCCTTGTGACCCTCGTGAGGGTAACCCTCGTAACCCTTGTTAGGCTAAACCTTATTAGGATAACCTTCGTGACCCTCGTGAGGATAACCCTCATAACCCTCATGAGGGTAACCCTTATGACGTCATTATGGGAAACGTCCCATAATGTAACGCAGGGTTCCGACGACGGCGACAACGCCACTCAAGCCAGAAACGGGCGCTTAAGAGCTGCGCTCTAAAATAAATTATGCACCCCCCATTGCACATTTTCCACCCAAATGTAGCACTAGAGGTCCCAATCATATGCCAAAGTTTCAGCATTAACTGTTGTCTTATTCAAAAGTTATAAGCGATTCTCTGAAATCATTGATGAAAAAAAGAGGCCCATTTTTGCCTGTTTTCGGTAACTGGTTCTATTAGAGTTCCATGTATTCGAGAGCACTGTTGGCTGCAATTTTCCCATTGAAAATGTAAGAAAATCGCTTATAGCTTTGGAACAACATGACGGCTAGTGCTGAATCTTAGGCATGTGGTTCGGACCTCTACCGCTACATGTGGATAGAGAATTAGCGTTCGGCAAGGCATAGCTTATTTTTGCAATAGAAAACAAAAAAAAACAAAAAAAAATTTTTTGTATGTTGAATATGCAGTGCGAGAAATGGTCATTTATAACATTGCCAAAAGTTTTCGAACCAATAGAGAAAACATTTTGCACAAAAAGCAGGAAATATACAGAACTCGCGAGTGTTCCACGACCACCCGACAGATGGTGCCAGCATGTTCTCTTGTCGTGAGAGATCACGAGAGGTTTTAACAAACTCGCTTGTAAGCAGCTGCAAATGTGTGGACCAAACTCAATTATAAAACCAATTCAACTAAGTTCAATTTGGGGCAAGCGAGGGTGGTGTCCCCAGTAGCTGACCGGCCTCTATAAACAGCAACAGTCAGGGCGGAGACAATGTGCCAAAGAGCGTGCTGCCCACTCACTCCTCTCCTCCATGTCCTTGTCCGTATCCTGACTCGGGTCCGGGGTCTTGAGGGCCTTGGCAGGCACTGTGCTGCCCATCTGGATCCTGAGAAGCAGGGACGACAGCACGCGGGAATGTTGTGAAATTGGGCCACGAAAGCTAAATGCAGGATTCATCCAAGAGCCTGAAATTCTCTTTTCAAGCCGAAGCAAGATACAACGCAAGAGAGCTGCCTAAAAATAAAAACTAGGAAGAGCGTTGCACAAGCACCCCACAACAATGCACTCATCTCCCGTCCAGTTGGGACAAAAACGACCCAATCGAAATTCTCGTGCACGGGCTTTGCTTGTTCTAGGTGGTGTTGATTGGGCAGCTGATGTAGGCACAAGTGGACGAGGAACCAATCAAGTATTTTTTCTCAGTATTTCTGGCGGTCGCTGACAGCAAGTTTGCCGTCTGCACGATAAGGGCATTGCAGTTTATGGCATTGCAGTTGGACTTAGCCATGGACAGAGAGGAGGGCAGGGACAAACACGAAAACGGAAAAACCATTTGAGACAGGAGACGCGGACTCGCCTCTCGGCCAGCAGGGCGGGGTCAACGGCCGGCCGGTCGTCCGCTATGTCGTAGCTGTAGGGCGTCTTGGCCTCGTCTATCTTCATATGGCCGTAGTCCTTGCCCGGAGGATGCAGCGTTTGGAGGACGTTCATCTCGTCGAACTTCAGGCTTTGGTGGCTCCTGGAACGAGTGCCACGATGTGGCGCACGGTTAAAGGTAAGGCGAAGCGCAGCATCCACCTCAGTCGACAAAATGCTGTTTGCTTTGAAACACTTGTTGCGTGGAGACAAGATGGCTGATCAATTGAAGGAGAAGAGCACTCTTATCACCACATGCCATTGGCAAGCCTCATCCTCTCAATTGTGGAGCCTAACCCCAACAATTTGTCCTTCGCTAAAAAAATGCCTCGGCGATTACTCAGATGACTAATATGGAGGGCACCGAGTGATATCTATTCTCATCGCGAGCATTCCGTTAAGCGTAAATTCGGCTTGCTGCATCAAGTGTGGAGTGCAGCTATTATTAACCCTGTTTGTCTAGTCTGCCTTAGGATAGACTGAGCACTGTAGTCATCAGCAACAAAGCAGTGAGTCACCTTTAAACCACGCTTCACCCGAATGCCATTTATTATATGTCAAAGTCAACACAACCAGGAGATAATAAGAAACAGTGCAAAAGGGACAGAACACAAAGTAGAAGGACACAGGACATACGGTGACCAACAACCAAAGGTTTACTATAACTTGTTTCTTCTACTTTGTGTCCTGTCCCTTTTGCGCTGTTTCTCATTATGTCGTTCAACCAACCAGCCGAGCAAGGTATCCTGTTACAACCAGCGCACACTAGAAAAATGACTGTGCTTCATTTCTTGAGTGTCGCACTATTACCACGACATGCTTTATGAGGTGCCTAAATTTCATGACACGTCTAGACGCCATTTGCTTCTTGACAACAACAACAATGCAGCATGTTCACAAACTTGTTACTTAGTGTCCAGTTAGAACATAGAACATAGCTTTATTGGTGATAGGAGGGCTATCTTAGGATTTACAGGTCTGTTGTTTCCCAAACAGGTCTAGTGGCATATGAAGGCCACATTTGTCCCACTAAACTGAAAAACGGTGTAACAAACAGTAAGGACTTTTGCAAGCTCTAAACAAACCAGCGCTCAGTGTACAAGAAGTCCGATTCTGGTGAAGGTGATGGCAAGAGCAGAATCCAATCTGCCTCTCATGAAACGAGCAAGATTGCATTTGTGGATGCTTCATCTGCTGATGTGAGCGGAGAGCATGGTTCGTCTGCTGCGAAGCATCATTTGCACACAGAAATAAAAAGAAGAAATTACCGTACGTCGACTGCTAACGGACCGAAAAAAAAAGCTGACTGTCTGCTATGAACGGACGAGCAGCGGAGCTTCCCAGAGAGCTGATTCAGCAGGCGAAAATGGCGGTGGAAAGCACTGGAGCCCCACCTAACACAAGTTTTTTTTTTAATAAATTTATTTTCTCTTTTTCTTTTGCTATGAACCGAATGCTGTGGCGGAGCGAGATCAGAAGTGGGCTGAAATTGTGATCGTCTGCCATTTTACTCTGAAAACCGTCGACAATTTGTACCTTGTTTGCAAATCTAAAGTTATTCTGCTGCTGTAAAAAGCTAACGTTGACTAGTGGATGAAGGAGTACTAAGGACAAGCACATATGAGGCTGTGAGACCTTTCTCGCTATCTCTATATTGGTGAGGCGTTCTCACTAAAATATTGTCTGATTGTCAACTCACGGATGGGTCAAAAATGTCTCATTGGTCGATAAAGCGCAAGCCGTGGCACAACATCCAATCAGCAGCCGAGAAGGCTCTCGCTCTGTCCTTGATCGAAGTCGGACTCAACAAGCCTTCAATCTCCATCTTTGCCCATTTCGATCTGGATGAGCATCGTACCGGCGTCCGGTCGTGTATCACTACTGCGTGGTGCATGTTGAAGACCCCAGGCTAGCAGTCGTACTGCACTGGCTCAATTGCTTGTCTACAGCGAAAAGACAGGTCGCCCACTGAGGCAGACTAAGTGCCGGCTGTCGGAACATACATACGCCACAATTACTTTACCCCAGGAGTGATACAGGCAAACTGACGTCACAACAGGCCGAGAACTGAACCTATCAATTGCGAGCAATCACCGGTGGGGGAGTCGTTAACGAGCGCCACTGTGTTTGGCGACGGGACTCACTGCCTGCGCTCGAAGCTCCCCACCGGTTTGAGGATACCGCGGGCGTCCGGGGCCTGTCGTTGTTGTTGTTGGGACGTCTGGGGTCTCGTGCCCGACGGAGCACCCCTACGCTTCCGCTCATCGGCCATACCATTCAGCCGGCCGCCCAAGGGGCCCGTTGATGGTCCCCATACTTTCGTGTCCGCCGCCGCGAGCCACAGGCTGCGCTCTTCTTCTTTGCCGTCAGTTTTGCCGAGATCGTGACGAGCGGTGACGGACGCGATGGGGGAGATCGGCAAACGAGCGTGTTATGGTACCACAGCTCGGAGCATGCGCACCAAAAGCTCGCGCTGCGGTACCCGGGTTTCCTGGGCTCAATCCCCACTCCTGCCCGTTTCGAACTGAGTGAGCGTCGTACCGCCGTGCGGTCGTGTTTCACTACTCCGTGATGCACGTTGAAAACACCAGGCCAGCGACAGTACAGCACTAGCTAGATTTCTCATCTACAGCACTAGCTAGATTTCTCATCTACAGCAGAGACACCAGATGCTGACGACTAATCACCCAGTGGATCGCGCATGTAATGACACGTCAGACTCGTTTGTTTGACGGACGCGATCTCCTGCCCGTAACCCTGGCACGACCTTCTATCTCGCGTCAGTGTCGCCCGACACCGGCCAAGTTAAAAGACACGCCCGTCGTGGAGGCGGTGGATCACTTCAAGATTTTCTCTCCGCGTAATTCGAAGGACTCTTCGGTAAATCTTAAATGCGGGAAAACGCCTTCTCTCTATAGTTGTTGTTGCTGTAGCTGTGGTCTTTCAAAAGAAATTCTGATGGAGTGGCAACTGTTGTTCTCGGGCCCGGTATCAGGAGCGAAGTTTGCCCGGAGCCTGTCGGTACTCCCGGCGGCGTCGATTCAAGGCGCGTGCCGAAGAGGCGTTCTTTGAAATCGCACTTACTGTCGTCGTCCTTCCGTGTATTCGAAGCTGGTGGATGGTTTTAATATTCCTTTGGCAGGTTTCTTCGCTAAATGCTCCGCCATGTTTAGGAGGCAGAAATTAGCTGGTTACTACTGCGAGCAATGGACTGGTGTAACAAGTACAAGCTGAGAAAACGCAAGATAAAACGGTGGTGGCGTTCAAAGCGGCGCTACTGGGTGAATGAAGGAATGGTAATGGCTATACCATATGTAACGGGCGGCAGCTTGCGCCACCTAGCCCAACATTTTGTCATCCTTTTTTTTAAAAATGTGTATGAATTTTTGTTATAACAGACCATGCGTTTATTGTAATAACTATGTAACAACCCCCCCCCCCCCTCTTTTTTAAACTAAATGTATTGCTTATTTTTATCTGTGTTTTTTTTATTCTTCCCTAGATCTCTTCCACCAATCTTCCAATCTCGTCCATCCATGCCCGAAAAACCCAGTGCACCCCCCTCCCCCCCCCCCCCCCCCCCCAAATCCGTAGTCATCCCCCCCGCCCCCACAAGAGGGTGGGACGAAGCCCCGTGCACCTTAAACTTAAATGTTCTATGGTTTCCCTTTCGCGGTTGCATACGTCGCACAGAGTGTCTACTTCTTGGAATTTATAACCCTATACGTTTTAGTTCGCAGCACCCCCGTTCTAGCTTCAAACAACAAAGAGCTCCCCACTGAATTATCATACAGCTGTTCCTTCTTTATTTCTTGTTTTTTTGCCCTGTATATTGTTAAAGCTGATTTCCCCTGCATTCTCTCTTCCCACAATTTCCTCTTTGTTTCCTTTACTCCCTTTTCTACTGATATGCTCTGATCGGCTCCATCTCGTCGAATGTATTTAAATCTCAGCTTGCGGGTTCGGTTTGTCCACTTAGTGTTTAGACTTTTCATATATAGATACTTGTACACTTTCGCTGGCCCACCGTGTATCCTCAATTTCAGTTAGTCTTTGTACAAATTTTACTTTACTGATCGCTTCTCTACTCTCGAAAGATGCCCGACCCATATCCCCCTGTACTCCCTCATTTGGTGTATTCCCATGTGCCCCCAATGCCAACCTACGCACACTCCTTTGCTGTATCTCTAAACCTGCCCGGATTTCTGACCTCATACACAATACCGCATTGCCAAATGACAGTCCTGGCACCATGACTTCCTTCCATACACCCCTAACGACTTCATATCTATTATAGTTCCATAGTGCCCCCGAATCTCGTTTCCCCTTCTTTATCCGGAGGGCAAGTTCGTCTGCTTCTTGCGCAGGGGGTAGCGGTGACGTCAGAACGTCGAGCCCTGATTGGCTGATCGCGCCCCCCTATCTAAGCGTCGTCTGCTCCTTCGCAACGTCGTCTGCTCGCAACGTCGTCTGCGTCTGTCTTACCTTTCCTGCGACTTTCGGAAGTGCAGAGGCCAGATTTACCAAACGATCTTACGCCAAGAATGTGCATAAGACAAAACTTAAGAACAAATTCGTATTCACGAAACGAAATTTTCGTACGTTTTGCGCAGGTTACGACGAAATCCTACGACAGCTCCGAAGCTGTCTTACGTACTTCTTACGATCAAATCAGCATGGCCGACAGCGTCGCGGTCGCGACGACCCACGGACGTTTATTTTTCTACGTGCGCTTCTCACGCGTCCCGACTTCAAGCAGCAAGAAAAAAGTAAAAAGTGCTTGAAAAAGACCACGACGAACAAGAACGCTGAATCCACAACCCCCAGGAAAACCTCCAACGGCCACGATTCCACTGAACGCGACCAAGCGAGCTCGGCCAATACTGGCTCGACAGTTAGGCCTAGCGGGAACTCCGCGACTCGGCGACCGTCTGCCCACGACCGGCTGGCGTGCTGAATGGAATATGCCCGCGCGACCCTTGTGCACCCTTCTCGTATTATACTTTGATCGCTGACCTCAATTTTAGATTAAGAGGTCAATTTCTTCCTCTTGTTATCTCCTTGTTTCCCGAGGCAACGGTGACTCTCGCCGGTGAAAAAGCGGTGAATCTCCGACAGACGCAGGAAAGGTAAAGCAGCCATCGCTTTGACTAGCAGACGTAAAGCAGACGACGTTAACTGCGCCAACCCGCCGACGCCGTTAAAGAATGAGGGGTCTCGCCGCACACAAAAGGAGGGAAAAAGTATTTGGAAGGGAACTTGCGGACACTAACACGCTCGCTCTCTGTTCTTAGCAAACAAACCTCGGCGCCTCGGGACACCTCGCCAGTGAGTCCTTTCATTTCCCTTCTTGATGCGCGTCTGCTAGCTGTTAGACAAAAACAACGTACCGCTCGAGTTATTTCGTCTGCCCTCTCTGAAAGGAAAGGTAAGACAGACGCAGACGACGTTGTGAGCAGACGACGTTGCAAAGGAGCAGACGACGCTCAGATAGGGGGGCGCGATCAGCCAATCAGGACTCGGCGTACTGACGTCATCACTACTTCCTTTCTCATGCGCAGAAGACTAAAATGAGCCCACTTGCGAGGCGTATTACATTATCTTCATGGTCATGATCAGTGGCACTGTACATACCACTGATCGTTGCACTGATCTCAATGACAATTGCTGAATCGCGCATCCCCGCTCCGCGGGTGCGGCCACCGGACGGCCATCTTGCATGGTAAATTTTTTCGTTTTGCTAGCGTTTCGCTATGGTGGCTAGAAGCCACCATAGTTTCGCTGCCGCCGTTCATTTTCCAAGATGGCGGTTATAGTGAGGGTCGGAGATGCGTGCCGCTGTTGAGCCTGTCTAGTGTCCTGGCTTCACTGAGCGACACAAATTATTTCTGGTAATACGAGGAAGCTAGGGTGTTATGAGCACAGGTCACCTCTTTACCCTGAAAACAAGAACGGTGTTTATCATATAATTAACGCAAGGATGCGCGTTTTAATTCTGGAGCGAAACCGAAACTAACCTCTATTTTGGATTTAATTTCTCGATATAGCTCTTAATTTTGGGATTCTTTCATAACTCAAGATGTGTCTCACATCGTAATTATTTAGTTAGAGAAGTTGTTCGCGGGAACTTTATTTCGTGACATACATTTCGATCCAGGCTATTTGTAGTTGTTGAAGAAATCAGTGCTGATATTTGTGCGTTCTTGCTGCCTTTTCTCTCTAAGATAATTGCCATGGGAAATAATGAGCTGCGGCCGCTTTTAATGGCTTTTGGGTATTTATATGACTAATTGGTTTAACATTCTTCCCAGCAAATTAATAATATAGTTCACATTTTTACAATATGTCCACAAAACGTATACATTAATAAACGCCGTTCTCACTGCAACAATCCAAAGACGGAGTCCGAGTCGGACAGCTGAAGAGGTGTGTGTGTGTGTGTGTGTGTGTGTGTGTGTGTGTGTGTGTGTGTGTGTGTGTGTGTGTGTGTGTGTGTGTGTGTGTGTGTGTGTGTGTGTGTGTGTGTGTGTGTGTGTGTGTGTGTGTGTGTGTGTGTGTGTGTGTGTGTGTGTGTGTGTGTGTGTGTGTGTGTGTGTGTGTGTGTGTGTGTGTGTGTGTGTGTGTGTGTGTGTGTGTGTGTGTGTGTGTGTGTGTGTGTGTGTGTGTGTGTGTGTGTGTGTGTGTGTGTGTGTGTGTGTGTGTGTGTGTGTGTGTGTGTGTGTGTGTGTGTGTGTGTGTGTGTGTGTGTGTGTGTGTGTGTGTGTGTGTGTGTGTGTGTGTGTGTGTGTGTGTGTGTGTGTGTGTGTGTGTGTGTGTGTGTGTGTGTGTGTGTGTGTGTGTGTGTGTGTGTGTGTGTGTGTGTGTGTGTGTGTGTGTGTGTGTGTGTGTGTGTGTGTGTGTGTGTGTGTGTGTGTGTGTGTGTGTGTGTGTGTGTGTGTGTGTGTGTGTGTGTGTGTGTGTGTGTGTGTGTGTGTGTGTGTGTGTGTGTGTGTGTGTGTGTGTGTGTGTGTGTGTGTGTGTGTGTGTGTGTGTGTGTGTGTGTGTGTGTGTGTGTGTGTGTGTGTGTGTGTGTGTGTGTGTGTGTGTGTGTGTGTGTGTGTGTGTGTGTGTGTGTGTGTGTGTGTGTGTGTGTGTGTGTGTGTGTGTGTGTGTGTGTGTGTGTGTGTGTGTGTGTGTGTGTGTGTGTGTGTGTGTGTGTGTGTGTGTGTGTGTGTGTGTGTGTGTGTGTGTGTGTGTGTGTGTGTGTGTGTGTGTGTGTGTGCGTGTGTGCGTGCGTGCGTGTGTGCGTGCGTGCGTGCGTGCGTGCGTGCGTGCGTGCGTGCGTGCGTGCGTGCGTGCGTGCGTGCGTGCGTGCGTGCGTGCGTGCGTGCGTGCGTGCGTGCGTGCGTGCGTGCGTGCGTGCGTGCGTGCGTGCGTGCGTGCGTGCGTGCGTGCGTGCGTGCGTGCGTGCGTGTTTTATATAGCAGAGCGGTCACGCATAGGAATTTATATTACATCCAGTATTTGACTGTTTTTCCATCTTTATAACGATGTCAGAGTTTTTCATATGCTAAATAGAAAACAAACTGATAACTTTCTGGAAATACTATTACGGTTAAACTGTTTTTGTTGTGATCGTAGCGTTAATTGGGGGCATACATCGCCGCGATTTGTATTAATAATATTAAAATTCAGATATTTTAATACGTAATTTTTTAAGCTCCAATATAATTTGCTGCTCATGATCTAATTTGAAACGCACGAACAAATATGCCAATCAAAACTGTGCTAAGTATCATCACTGGTGTCAATTGCAGCAACTTTAATTACCGAGAAATAAAATAAAAATAGTAAAAAATAAATGAAAACATTCTAGCTAATATGAGACATTCATGTAAAATTAGATTATTGTGGGTAAAGTATATTTTGCTCTCAATGTCGCGACATTTAACGATCGGCATAACGTCCCAAGTCGCCGCCAATATCCTTCCAAACCAAATGCCCAAAAAAAAAAAAGTTTTTTTTTTTTTTTTTTTTTGTAATATACCAATTTTTTTACAGCATTTAGTTACTTTCATTTTTACGCTCCGTCGTTTTGCCAATCTCAGCCTTTCCAGTTCGAAGGAACGCCTACCTGCTTGCACGTCTGCTCACTGCAGCACGTTTGGTTGGCGTTGGAAGCCGGTGAAATAGTAGTGAGTTTTAGTATTGCGTACACGAGCGAACACAAGCGCTG